TGAATTTGATCTGTGAAAACTCCACGATATGAGAAGATTGTAAAAGATCAAAGCTTTTTAATTTGGTGATACGATTACCTCGTTGGTAACGGTTTGAGACTCTTTCGCAGCAGCATAAGCAGAGTTTATTAATAAGATCAATGAGGAATCTAACTCCTTCGACTTCGCGAGGCTTCTGATCTTTTCACAAGCCGCATCCACGGAAGGCGAGTTTAAAATATCATCAAACTTTGCTTGAGCAGCATCTAAAGTCTCAACACTCTCCAATGTATTGTCGTAAGCACTCACGGCAGATAAACATCTCGCTGAAAGCCTCGCAACAGCTGACTCAAAAAGAAACAAAACAGTCAATAAAATTGTGAAAACCAATATAAGCAACATGACTAATGTACTTTATAAATACCATCTCTGTCTTCTAAACCATCAAGAGTTTCCGATAACAAAGCGACATAACGGAAAAACTCTCCCGTAAAGTCTCTACGTCTCTTGGCAGCGATTGCGTTTATATCTGTCGGGTTTTCTTGAATCTCTTTCAAAAGATCATTGTGTTTCTCCATTTCCTCATCTATCTGTAACAATACTCTCACTTCTAAGCACACAACCACAATAAACTAGCAATCTTACAATCCCCTAAGATAACAAACACTACAAATAATACCTTCTTTACTTTGCTTTCCAGTGAAATCAGCTTCTGCTTCAACACGGGATCAGTTTCGATACCAGCTCGGATTCTGCAACGCTTATAGAAGTTTACACTATACTTATTCCATTCATCTCTTAAAACCAAATACTTCTTCCATTGTTTAACTTTGGGTTTCTCATTCAAGAAAACATCAATGATCTTGTCACAGAATTGAGCCATAGTATAGCCTTCAGCAACCTCAACCTCCATAGGATCTTCAACAGAACTTTTCACTTCCTTACCTTAAAAACAACATTTTTAATCTCCTGTACTTCAACTAAAACCAAGACTATGAAAAAAAAAGCAAACCCTTTTGTTTTCAAAACTCAACAATTACAAAAACCCTTTAAACATTGGAACCTAAAGGAAACGAATTTATTGGTAATTAGATGTAAAGATGAGAAATTTAGGGTTTATGAGCTTACTGGTAGTGTCACTGTAAGTGACAGTGTTAGTAGCGAAGGTGATACTTGAGCTTTTCCGTCTTCTTCTTCCTCCATTGATGAAAGCAGAAGAAGGTAGAAGATGGGTTTGAGTGATATTGGGAGTGAAAGATGGGAATTTATCAGGTGAAGAGAAGAAGATTGATGTTTCAAGTAAATTCGCCATTTTTTCTCCCTCACTTGGAGAGATTTGTTTGTGTTTTGTTTTGTGACGAAAACGACGAGAAACGCCAAGAGGATAAGAAGAACAGGGTTATCTTTGTAAATAATTAGAGTTTTTAGACAAATCCGAAAAATGCATAAAATTCGTAATTGAATTTGTCGCCACTTCGTCAAAAAACAGAATTTGTCGCCACTAAAAAATTAATCAGAAAAATCAAAATTCAGTGATGTAAATAAATATTAGAACTTTTGGGGCAAAAGTAGTAGGAATGGGCGTTTTGGTTATTCGGGTTTGATTTGATTCGGTTTAGATATTTTGGTTTTAAAAAAATAGATTTTATTTGGTTTTAAATTTTAATTCGGTTCGGTTCGGTTTGAGGTTATGGTTTTCGAATTTTCTGGTTTCTAAAAAATAAATTCAATTCGGGATCAAATTAACTAATTTTTAATATATTTTTTTATAGTTTCTTATAAATTTAATTAAAATTATTAACTTTTTAAAAACAAGTTGGTTAGTTTGGTTAATTCAGTTTGGGGTCAAGTA